ATATATATATATATATACCCCTTGACAGTGACTTATTAAGTAGACCGGGGAACTAATGAAATCACTTGAGAAGTGTTCAGATGCTGCAAGCCACTCTCGATGTAGCAGCATCACAGCATGCATTCCCGCAATTTTCATTACAGATATGCGAGGGCCTCAAGATTTTAGCGTAATGCCATCACATGATCTACTAAAGAACAAGGCTACGCACTAATTCACAAGAAGCTATATATGAATTGGATTTTACGTAGAACAGTATATCAAGGCATGACAGACTGACAGCTGACCAAAGCGGTCGCAGCACAAAGAAAATAATTTCACGTTTCCGGTTCTATAGTCTTCTTAACAACGAAACAAGTAACAAACTGACAATAATCATCCAGCCTTTCGGTGTCTAGCTCCGATGCCACCCTAAGGAACTACGAAGGCTGAGGTTGTCCAGGCCTAGAGAGGAGCGACCGAGAAGATGCCGGAGTCGTGTTCAAACCATGAAGTTCCCGGTCAGTTAGTTTGCTCTTCAACTACTGGGCTCTCTCGAGCTATTGAGTAACAAGGATTCAAGTTGCTAGGTCTATACATACGCTGCATGACAGAAGTTATGTGGCTACAGCTTCTTCGTGAAGAATCGGCGCACGATTGAGCCTTTGTGGTCATTACGATTAGGAAGACCGCCATATAGAGTCTCTCAGATTGCGGTGGTATAGTCATATGCAATACACGCACAAAATTGTCTACGAACGATAATTTGCTCCACCTCAAACCTTTGCTGGTAGAGTTCATGATGGACAGGTCATAGTATTGATATAGAAAATCAAGGTGCATAAGCGCCACGAAATCTTCTGGATGGATCGGGCGCATGAATGAAAATTTAACGGTTTTGTGCAACACTTATCCCAATGATGAGTCATTTCTAGGCAAAACTGTCCGGCAGAAACTTTCCTCCCGTATGACCGGCTTGCACTGAGCACAGTTTCTAAGGTGCTGGGGTAGACCCAGTGGTGGCATATAACCAGATATCTTTAATTCATTACCATGAGATGGCGTAAGAAATGTGCAGTTAATCGGTGCCCTTAAGATCAAATGTTCTTCGTATCTTTTCTAATCATTCCGTCTTCTCTACATACCACTAGGTCTTTCCTTCCTCTTGACTGAGTGGGAATTAAGCGGCAGTGCTTACCATTGGATTGATATTACCGGAGAATTATGATAAGTTTGTACCATAGAGAAGAAGACCTTAACAACCAAAATTTAGTATAATGAACCACGAAACTCTTCAAGACTATCCGGACAAGTTATCGTCCAGCCAGCTGAATCGTATCGCAAAAAATATGGGTACCGGTGGCTACAGAATTCTTGGCCTTGTTTGAAATGTTAACGAAGTGAGATAAAAAAGAAGACACTTGAACCCGCTAAATAGGGTTGCTCCTCCCAGATGAAATAGTTTTAAACGTTTAAGAGCGCTTCGTTTGACACCTTGCTGCTTACATTTTACTGTATATCGGATTTCGGATTGCAGGATACTGACTTTTAAGTTAGGTAGGTCACTCTTGATAACAAAACACTGTTTAAATTTGTGGTCAAGACTCACCAGGATACAGTTCACAAATTCCTCGTTAATCCAAGTTTCCTGGATCACTATTTTTTACTCTCATCGTCTAGATCACTGACATTCTCGTGGAACCTTTCAATAGCCCGTTGTCTCTGGTGCACTTTCTGAAATTCAGTGAACAGATTTCCCGCGTGGACTACAACACACCTGCTTCAGCCTATTTCAAAAATAATTCAGAATCAATCCATAATGGGGTATACTTCGTGTGGTACGAGAAACGTGGTTGTCTGAACTTAAAATTGGGCAAGGTTCCTCCTTCGGAATTCGAGCTGAAATTTCCAACAGTCCTGGATCAAGTTCAGCGCTCCCCTTACCACGGTGATGAAATACTGAGAGTTTACATCCAAAGGCGATCAAATAGCCAACAAGGAATGAACTACCATGCAGAACTTATTCCTATAAGATCTGCGTTTCACTCAACTTGGTTTCAATCAGGTACACATGGCGCAGTCGGTAGCAATGCTAACAACAGGGAAACGACAAACGCAGCTGCGCTTTCGGCCCGCTTGGAAGAAAATGAGAAGGAACAACTGTCTGCGAAGGTTGGACGGAAGCGAACTTCAGCTCATCGAGCACATAGGCCAAACAAGGTTCATGGATCTAAATCCATCCATGAAATCAAAACTACAAGCTGTCAAAATCAAGAGCTACCGGAGGTTTTAAACCGTTTACTAAAAACATTCTCTGACACAAACAAATCAATACCGCCATCCAGGAGAAGTCGGCTCTTTGCCCGCTCATCAGGAATACTGTCAAATGTAAGCAGCGACAGCAGCTCTGTTGAGTTAAACAGAAGGCCGTCAAAACCATTTGTTATTCGAAGAACTGCATCCGCAGTTTATTCATCAACTAGCGATTGGTCACTTGAAATAACTCCGAACGAGTTCATCAGTTTGAAGTACGCCGCGCACATAAGTAAAAGAGATAGGCTTTCTTCATCAGGAAAGTTAGATAACGATGGAGCTGAACATCTATCGTGCACCTCGAGTTCATTTCACGCAGTCAAAGTTTCCACGATAACTGGCGCTACGAGCACTCGGCTGGGGACTGAAAAGGATAAAATATGCCCCAACACAGTGACAGGAACCCCGAAAATGCTTCAACCTAGTCTATACACCGATCTGAGACCATTTATCTTCGGCGATATGTATGATCTGGTAAATGTTCGGAATGCCAACCTCCCGCCAAGAAATAATGTAACTCATTCAAGTGATAAATCGGTAACTGGTCGTGTTTTCTCCAACTTCGCCCCAAAAGACCCTCAAAGACTCAGAAGGAGACTGCTGTTTACTCCCACAGACGAGCAATCATTCTCGAGGAGACGTGTGCAAAACGAGAAACGTATGCAAAAGTGTATTCAGAGTGATTCAACGTGTGCCGATGTGAACAATATGGACGCAGAGTATGAGGATGCTACAGATACATGTTACGGATACTCGCAGTCTGCTAGTGAGGCTGATACTAACAACTATGACGGGGCAGGTCAGGAGAGAGTAAAACGCATTTCGTTGAAATCTAAAAAACGCAAACGCAAGCGCAGTTCCCGTGCTAGCACTGTGAGCGTCAGCATAACTACGCGTACTTCTTTCGAGCAAACCACACCGGGCATGGGCAATTCAAAACTGCAAGAAGAGAAACGAAGAGCTGCTAGCATGCCTTGTGCCGACGCGTTTAACATTTACTACAATCCCACTGCAAAAGGGATTACACCAAGGCGCATGCCGGCTTTGGAAAAGCAACTAAGACCACATCGAACATTCGATGAACTTACATATAAAAGCTCAGAGCCTTCACGTAGACTGACCGCACTTGACTTTCTAGGAATAGAAAGGACCATCAAAAATCTTTTGAAGGCTCGTACTAAAGGTAGGAAGGGTCGGCACTCCGCTGGTGGGACAGTAATATCCCCGATTCACATGCCTGTTTCGGCTCGATTTCCAAGCAACAAGATCCCACTAAGTTCGAGTTTGGTCAGGGTTGGAAGTAGGGAAAGTTGGAAAAATCGGCAAGGCGCAAGCGCTGACCAAGAGAAGCTGAGAATCAACCGGGCTAGCTCTGTCATGCCCAGTTCTGAAGAAGAAAAATGNAAAATCGGCAGGCGCAAGCGCTGACCAAGAGAAGCTGAGAATCAACCGGGCTAGCTCTGTCATGCCCAGTTCTGAAGAAGAAAAATGGCTACTGAGGTCCTCCGACAAAGACCCTAACAACATTCCAAATGAGTATGAGATTACTGAGCCAAAGCACATTTCAGGGCCTTATTCAGTTGTTTTCAAGGATGTAGCAAGAAGTAGTGAGGCTGAACCTTACCAGGCAGTAGTTCCAACAAAGACGAGCTCCCAAGAAATTCTCAACGACAACGTACCGGTTTCTGTTTTAACCAGTCAACACGAAGAGGAAGTCTTTAACCTGGTACCATCAGTCCTACCCACTGATATCGCGTCTCCGCATCTTGAAGAAGACAATTGCCAGGTACCCACAGATGATTCGGATGAGCTGCATCAAAAAGAGGCGACCGATACAACTCAAGTAATGAAAGAAAGACTGCCACCAGGACAAATAAGCCTGGTTGAATCTTCTTCAGACAGATCCTCAAAACATGTTAAAGAAGTACATGCAGACGCACAGCAAACGCAACGATCAGGTGGGGAAATCATTTCGATTAGTTGGTTCCCTGTGGACGGCAGTGACAAGCATACGCCAAAGGGTTTGGATAGTGCCAAACAAACTGAGTGTAGCGATAAGAAATATGAACCAATGCACTTAAGCGACACAAAGCTAAGCCAGAGCTCGGAACTGCTGGGGGAACTCGAGAATCACCTACTCATACGGTTGGCTCAAGGGATAATACAGTTACATCAGACTGGAATGACTTCAGTCAACCCAGACTTGACAAGTCTGATTTCTTTAATTCCTTTGATAAACCGATTGATCTTGAGGCACTGAATCAAACCGACTTCTCGCCCCAACCAACACAACTGCCAGAACAACTGCTGCTAACTTCAAAAGAGCTCGCAACAACTTCTTTAGCCATGGGCCTGGACAAACTATATACTGAGCGAAAGCTATCGCGGATATCTTCAAGTTCCTTGAAGTCTATTTCTCAAAGAAATACTGGTCGACAAATCTCAGATGGCAAATATTTAATAGAAGTCAGCACGGAAATTAGGCCCCAGCCTAGATTCAGCGACAATAATACCAATCAACAAAGCCACACGACAGAAAAGCGCAAATATTCGAAGTCTAGTTCGGCAAAAGTTAGTAATCACAGTGCAAGAATAAATGGTGATGAATATTTAGACAACGGAGCTACTTCCGCTGAGCTCATAGGTGACAGCCAGGTGCCAAAAGCTTTATTCATGCCACAGGCGAATGAATGTGATCAATCGTTTTCCCCCGCTAGAAATGAAAACGGAAAACAAGTTACAGCACAAGAAGTTGCCGACCATATTAAGGTACCGTTTGCAGCGATGTTTCAGTTCACAGGACAGCAGAGTCATCCCTTCCCATTGAATCCACAGACTTCGGGCACCGGTCACGCTTCGGACGTTAACGTGTGGATCACGCAACATTGGCCACACCTTCTCGTACCAGCCCCCGTAGCACCTGTACTTGAAACTCCCCTATCGAGCGTCACTGCTGGAAATCCACTGATGGCGTCAGATGCCCATAAACGGCAGGATAGCATGAGCCCATACGTCTATCCAGACATTGGATGTATGGTCAACTTTACGCAAGATCCAACGAGCGGGCTTGGCTGTCCGGTAAGATCGGACATCTGTGTGTATCACACCCCTCTTATTGGGCACTACCTAATAGGAACCGCAAATGGCGTCCAAGCCCAACAAATTTCTGGTGGTCCGCCACTCACAAGCTCGGAGCCCCAACAGCCAAATATCCACTTAGCTCAGCGTGTAGCTGGTGACCTCTATGCATGCCCTTTCGGACCGTTCTACTCATGGATACAAATTGGACCACAAGGTGTGTCAGTGATGAGTAGTGTGGGGCAACAAGGTGGCCTGATACCAAGCGAACTTCCATCAACTTGGGGTCAGATTGTGTCGAAACCAGAAGAGCTAACAAATCCAAGCGAGCGGCAACTGCCGAGCAAGCTACCAAACCATGAGGCGACAGCAGCGAATGATCAGAGTCAACACCTGCAAGAACAGACACCACTTGATATTGATAAAAGTATTTTGACAGCTTGTCCTCAACCCGTTCACAACTATATCGAACCCAAATTCACCCCCAAACAAAATGAAGCTGATTTGTATCTAATGCCCGAAAAACCCATACATTCAGCTGATGATTACACCAAGCAGCCAGAGCCGTTCAAGTCCGAACCCACTAGGAACCAATCACGACCGGCTGAGGGGAAGTTGGATAAGGCATCAAAGTCAAGTAGGTCTCCAAAAGATTCGGGAGGAGGAAAACTTTTAACTAAGCCTTTAGAAGACATCGCCACCGAGCAACTGGAGGTACTGAATTTGAAGTTGAATAAGAGATCTCCAGAAGCCCGTGAGATAAGAACGTCTGATAGCCCACGATTACTAGCAAAAGCTCCGGAAGATCTGACTATAACCAATGCAGCAGAGAGAAAACTATTGCAAGAAAAAGATAGTTTGGATGTAGAAAAACCATCTGGTTCACTTATAGACATAATGAGAGAAATGCCCACTACCAGAATAGATAGCATTCGGTTGCGTGCAGCAGTCTTGTCAGATTTAGCCATAACCAAAGCAATGCAAGAGAAACTCTTGCATGACAGGAGCAGATTGGACGTCAAGAAACCAGATGGCTCACTTATTGATGCAACCAATGATATTCACAACGTTAAAATCCATAAACAACTAACTTTAGATGCGCTACGGAAAATGCGGGACGTAAAACCTGAACCTCAGACAAACGAAATTCATAAAAAACCTGTTCTTCGTATTCAAAGTTCTGATGCGGGTGAAACGACTCATACTAGCCTAAGTTCTCCCTCCATAGAAGCCGTAAATGATTTGATGGAACAGATAACTTCACAAAAATTACCTTCAACAGAGCATCACGAACGCAAGGCAAGCACGTCTTCAGTGAAAACCGAGTATAACATGTCCAAACCAAAACCAACAGGTGCACTAACTACAGAAGAACGTGATCTTTCGGAGCATTATAGGCAAGTGACGCAGTTGCGACCAACAGGAAGCGTTGTGTCAATCAAATCCAGGTATGAATCATTGAATCGAAAGCCTTTCGACACACTAACACCAGATGAATGTGAGTTTCTGAAGCAGTACAGAAAAATAATGCGGTCACATCCCATAGCAAGCACTTCGTTTATGAAAGCAAGATATAAATTATTAAAACAAAAGGCCCCGGACTCATTAACTTCAGACGAAAAAGAGTTTTTGAGGCAGTTCAAGAGATTGATGAAGTTAGCCTTAGCAGGAAGTGTTTCTTCAATGGAGACCGCAAACAAGTTGCTTCAACAAAATCCGACGCACGCATTAAGCTCTAATGAGGTTCACTTTCTGGAAGACTTCGAACAAATGGCCCAGTTTGACCAGGCATCTTTTGAAGCTAAGCCTCTTGTGCTAAAGTCCTCTTTGCCTGAAGCCCCCTCCAAAGAACAGATTCACGAACTCGATCGCCTGTCGTCATTTTCGGTCTCCGAGGCTCGCACATCTACTTCTAGGAAACCCGATTCTCCAGAGTTACTTACAAGCGAAAGTCTACCTACTACGTCGACCTCTGGTGCAAACCAGGCTCAAACAATAAATACCCTTGGCAACCAAGACGAAGTCACCCATGGTATGGCAAAGTCTGGTCTTTCAGAATGTCAGATTGGGCCTTGGTCATTAAATTTAACTCCTACAACAAAAATGCTTATGTCTGAAGATCTGATGAACACAACTTTGACACTCTACAAACACAATGATTACATTGGTCCACCAACTAGTGACCGATACCCAACGTTCATTCCCTGCCCCTGTGAATCACAGTATCTGGAAAATCTCATTGCGTTAAACCCCCCGACCATACAGTTTTGGCCATGGCCTATGAATTCAACAGACGCGTTTTCCGAAGATTGTGAAGAAAATGCCGGTTCAAAACAAGTAGATCTACAGTCACGTGAAAAAGACGCACCCGCATCTTCGTACCCTGATGCTTCAAATAATCACGGAGCATTCAGTACTTCGGAGGATGTACCATCCATCCTAACCTCCACAGGTAAAATGAACTTCAGTAATGCCCAGTCTACTGCCACCAATAAACATACTCAACGTGAATATGAAAAGCTCAGTTGTGCAGTCCTGTGTCCAAATTTACTTGATCGGATTTGGTCACCTTCCAGCTACATACGTCAACGGACATGCAAAAATCGAATTGGACAAGAGGGACGAAGAATGCAAGCTGCTTCGGGTACCTACAATCACTGCTTTGGGACACCGTCAGCGGAGGTTCAACCGGGGTTTAGAGTGAAACCAAGCGTTACTGGAAACCACGTACCACCACCGTCAAGCCTCGTAACTTCTGCAAGCAAACAACGTCTAAATTTCAAAGCCAACCAGAGGACATTCCTTGCATCATGTTCATTGTCTTCAGTTGACACAGATCCTAATTTTGACGATGACGTTGATTGTTTGGTGAATCTTACTCTGCCTCCGTATTAGTTTAAATTAAAGTTTGCTTTCAAACGCCTCTCACTTCTCGCTCTGTGAGGGCGCCAAATAGACACTGAGCCGGATTACTGAAGTATTTCTGCGTACATTTCCAACTTGCTTTGGCGGTTGACGGACTCGGTACGGTTGGGCTTGGGAGCGCCTTTGTGCAAGAGCGCTAAACCGCAGAAATCTGCATCAATCCTTGGTCATAGGCCAGGTCTTGAAACAAACCTTGTCACATAGTGCTGGAATTCCATCATCATCATCATCATCATCGTCATCATCGTCATCATCATCAGCATCAGCATCGTTATCATCATCATCACGAGTGGAAGCAGCACTAGACGATAACAAGGAAGTTGTCGTCTGCCGTACAGCCATTTCAGTCTACCTGAATTTCGAAAGCTAACTTACCATCTTGTAGTGGGGTTACTTGTATTACGTTTAATTTCAAATTACCGACGCATCGCTCAAATAAGTTTTCTAAGGGGTACGAAACCGTTTTATCCGTTGAACAACGGTGTTCAGTCGCTGAAAAACTGCGGAAGAATGGGTACTACCTGTTTTCCCAGGTCAGTACAGGAGTTCTGACCACCTTGAACAAAACATCTGTCCAAAACAAAAGAGTGCTTGCTAATTCCCGGTTTCCCACTAGTGAATTAAATTTTTGCTTAGAAATCTCCGGGGGACTGACCATTACATGCTCACTTAGATTCGAAAAGAAGACCACTATTTCTGGTCTCCGGGACGTAAGGGAAAATGCCCATGATGTACTGATGCTCCAATTCAAGATACTGCATAGTCAGAGGCCACAGAAGATTCGGGAATAAAATAAACCCTTATTCAGACAGTTTTGGACGTACATAAAGGCCACGTCTTACGGGTATCACGCATAATTTTAGTGGGGTTTGAATACAATCGGTGTGCACTTCTCCGAATAAGTTGAAGAATCCACGTCTCGGCACTGGAAGGCGTCATTCGCGTCTTGCTAACACATTTTTGAGCAAAGGGATATCAAAGACAATAGTACTGAACGATTTAATCTGCTAATAGGATGTTGCTCAGCCCAAGATATGAAAAGGAATAAACTTCGTGACACCAGCCCTCAAGTAAAGACAAATGGGTTGTGAAACACTAATATGTGTCTGGAAAATGCTTGAACGTTTGTGGGCGGACATGAAACATCAGTGTCCTACTCGACCAGATCGACTAAAGTCAGCTGACAGATGACCCGGATTGTCAACTTATGGCACACGATGCGTACAGAAACAGAGTGAACATAAGCTTTATTCGATCCTAAAAGCTTAGGTTGTTGTGTAGTTTGTATCATGTCGCTTATTACCATTAGGTCGATTTCAACCACAGACTGTTTCATTACCGATATCTTTCAAAATAAGAGGCAGATTTCGAACACCAATTCCAGTTAGATGGAAGACTCACCTGGAACCCAGCTGGATCTCTCATTTATGTTGCTCTTCCTCCAATGGATGTGCTGCACCGGGCCGCCTCATGTTTCAGTTGGTACGGTATTCGAGATATCCCAATACGTTGTTGCCTAGATGTAACACACCACCCACAAGTATGCCGAAAACCCTTCGAGATCCCACGACTATTTCACCTTGAAGAGTTTCCAACAACTTTGCGAGTAGTGTGTTACGTCTAGGCAGTGTCGTATTGCGATATTTTGAATATCCTACCAACTAAAACATGAGGCGGCCTGGTGCAGCACGTTCATTTGATTAAGAACAACATATGCGAGAGAATCAGCTGAGTTTCAGGTGAGTCTCTCATCAAAGCCAAATAGGTGTGCATATAACTTTACAACTCGAATTTGCGCAATTTGGGTTCAAGTAGAACATAAGATTGACGAAAAATCGGGAGCTTTGCCCACCTGATAAACCCCGAGAACGACGAAACCGGTCGTTTCTGTCGGAAGTTTTCAACGACCTTATAAGTAGGGCATTACCTGAAGATTTTTTCCTGGCAATCGCGCCCTGTACGCGCAGGAGTGCACAGAAAAAGACGTGATGAGTCGATTAAATGTCTTCTGCTTTGATCACAGCACGCTAGAAGACAGGAGGCGCACCGTGAGTGAGAGCAGCATTACAGATAGTGTCACTTGACTTCTAGGACTTGGATGCATCAAGACATGTATGGACTGAGGAGAATGAGATTGAATTGTGCGATACCAAATTTCTTGCCTGCGATCACGTTTTCGTAGGAAAATTATGCCCAAAATGCATCGAAAAATGCAGTGGATGAAATCGGTTGACTGCTGTTACACCTGTTTCGGTGACAAGGTATTTTTGGAGCGTCAAGATCTTTGTGCTGTGGTGTGTAGCACCTAATAGGTTTGCTTGATGTCACCAGTTAATGGTTACAGTAGGATTTAGACATATTTGCTCGCATTTTGCATTGTTCTCATCTGAAGTTCGTATCATATCAAATCAACATGATACAGCAGATTAATGTGGTATAAAGTGTGAGTGAGCTGTCAGCATTATCTGGCTCAAGATTTGTGTCCATCAGTTTTTGAGGCAACGCTCCGATGTTAGCCCATACAGAATTCTTGGCTAACGCTGTTGTTGTGTTGAACCAAAAGCTATCTCAACCAACCGGAGTGTGAAAACAATTAGATTTTCCCATTGGTGAATGATTCAACCCAACAGGTTAATCATCAACTTGCGTTTTTACCCAAAGTAACAAGGATGATATGGAAAAACCCTGTGACAGGGTGTTGGCACGTAGGAGCTAGCGAAGTCTGTGTACGATGACTCAGCTGGCTATTACCAGATAACATGAGGGAGAACAGCCGGGTTGTTTTGTGGGTTGCAAGGAACGATAAGTCACAAAAGAGGACATAAGAGCTGAGGATCTGAAAAAAGCGATGCCTGAGTTATTACCCAGGCCAACCCAACTACCGGCCTCAATAGTGGAACTAGGCCAGGTTATTATATAGGCTAGTTCGTTTCGTATTGTTGCTCAAAAGAACAAATAATAGGCCGTCAGTCTCAATAGACTTGTTGGGGCTCCATTCAGTGCTGACTTGGGTTATTGTCACCGTATGAAAACGTGTATTTGGAAAGCAAAAGAAGAAAGCTCGTTCTACATAGAGTGGACTGATTTGTTGAAGCACCCATTAGAACTGCGCTGTTATTCACCACGGACCCCAATTAAGATGTAAGATCCCTATAGTGGGCCTTCAATAAATCGGTAGCGTACAAAAAGAACCAAAACAACCTCTTGTCCACGAAATAAGAGGACGTCTATTTGCTGTCTCCTAAACGGGCTGGTTATCTCCAAATTTTTTAGAACTTTCAGTGAAATATAGGTGGGAGCGTTATCCTATCTAATCGGGGTCCGAACTACTGGCATGATTCACGAGTGCACGTGTCATGATGGCAACAGCATGTGAGCCCAGATAATAGTCAGAATTGGCGATCGATTTTGTCGCTTAAACTAGCTGTACCATAATCATTTGCAGCCGATGAAAGGCAAGTTTTGCAGGTACCGTGGGTTTAAAATGTAGAGAGAATAATACTTGAAGACATGAAACTGATCTTGAAAATATCACGTCAGAATAGATCGTCTGATTCCAGGGGTATGTATCATCTCAGGATGTTCCGGTTTCAAATTTCAGATCGTTTTATCTTGAGTTCTGTGTTATCAACAGTATAAAGCATGAATCTTAAACGTCCGAATCAGGTGTGCCAATATGCGTCAATTGTGGTGTCAGGTAGACGCACCATCGGGTCTGATAAGCAGCGTTTACCCGGTTACACTGAGGACTATACTGTTTCTGCGGATGGAGCCTGCCTGAAACACCACGCATTTTAACGCTTTCTTAAAGGCATTGCTGGTATCGGATAGCGCCAGAGAATTCGTAATGAGATAATTTGAAAATGGGTATTCAGTTTTGCAGTAGGCACTTCAGTCGCAGAAAATACCCGGCACCATCAACTACCTGGCTCGGTTGTATGCTAAACTTGCCGAAGCATCGTCTACCGAGATGGCTGTGGTCTCCCGTTCCCTCTTCAGAACGGCGCACACTGCGAAGTAGAAAACGTGTGGTTTGTGAGAAGTGTGAAAGAGGTTGCGAGGGGACTTAGTGTTGTTGGTGTGGTCTGCCTCCTAGGATGGGTTCCCGTGACTTCCCTTTGTGCTTGGGTTGATTTGTTGCAATAAATAGCGGCTAATCGATGTCATTAGAGTTTTTAAGTCAGATTCTCTCCTGACAGTCTGAATGAATGTTTTAGGAGTATACGCTTGAAAGTGGTTGTTCTAGGTTAGTAGTTTCCTTCACTCACAGCCTTTTCTTCGTTTCACTTCAAAGCTGCCCAGAGATGAACTCCGGGCATGTATTTTAGTGAGGCATCACTGTCGATTCTGATTCTGTGTCTGATGACGTTGATGATGATGATGATGATGATGATAACAACGATGATAATGGTGTTTTTCAGTCTTCACAGTCTCACCGAATCTCGCACTTTTCATGTTTACTTTAGAGTGTTTTGAATTTCAGTCTCTAACATTTCCGTGTATTCTGAAAATGATCTGCCTCATTAGAGGCAGCCAACTTTGACAACAAAGTCAATCACCCGAAGAGTATTAGACCTCAGAATTATTCGTTTCCGACCACTAATTGAGATGCTTTCGCAAGAGGATACCAGGACCAACGAATTCGGTAAAGGAGTTTAAGGAAAGGTATTCAACACGATGCAGTTTTGAAACCAGATGGGTAACGCACTTAGTCCGTTCTATGAGGGGTAGAGATCTGTTGGCCTGAGTGTAAATTACAAAAATTTCCCGATAAGAGCTCAAACTATCGTACAAAGCATCCAATCCACGCTACCGCACATATGGTGGTTCACGACCGATGTGCGTTTTCTTACAAAAAAAGTGCAGGTTGGATTTTTACTTGCCCAGAATTGGAACAATCAGGCGAACTGAATCCCGTGATCAAATGGGCCCGTGTGCCTGGGCAGGAACTCCCTAGATCAGATGTACCAAATGTCGTGTCATTCAAATCAGCAGTGAACCGAAAACGGATAGACTGGGTGAAACACTGTGAACCTGCTAGAGCAATTAGGTCGATAATGAGAGAATTTACCCGCACTTTTCACGGCAACTCTAAGAGAATTTTTGCGATTTTGTAATGAATGAATCAGAAGTGATACAATAGGCGGAGAAGTGTAAGAGGAGCCCTAGAATTCTCGAAACATTTCGAAACTTCCTTAGTTTGGTTAACTTTTACAGCTTCTCCCACTTACTTCACTTGATTGCTGACGGAAGCAGAACGAAATAACAAATAAAATTGGAGAACATGTTCAAGCATTAGGCGCCTTCAAGGTACGAACTTGACTAAACGCGATCCACCAAAGAGGAAGCCACGATGTCCAAAACTAGTGGAAGTCATGTAGGGACAATTTTTGGGTTTAAATAAAGCCAATACATGTTCTCTATTTGAGTGAGATTGGTCTGTTTACCGAGTTTGGTAAGTGGCTTCCACCACCATTCGAACAGATATCGTCAGTGTGATATTGATTGGATGGTTCTTCTCTCCGTGGCTGCACTTATACAGTCTGCAAAGAGCAGTTTTGAAACCTAATCTGATGAGTTTAACGGCTAATCGGTTATAACTTAAAGCTTCTCTTTGCAAACTGTAACTACCCACCCAACAGCACACTGGTAATGTCTCTGCATTTGGTGACGAAATGTCCTTAAATCGGTTTTCAAACCCAGTGAACAGATCAGCAGCCACTTGACCAACTACCAACGTGTTTGCCTTGTGGACAGTGTTAGGGAATCTGGTTAATTCCCTCATAGTGAAATAAACTGGCTACCGGGGGCACAATCAGTATAAGGCTGGTCCACAATGCTTCAAGTATCTTTGCGCTCTGCAATGGATTCCGCCACTTCAATACGAGAAACTTCGTCGTTCATGTATGATTCTGCTGGCTGAGTGTGGAATAATGCCTCTGAGTGAACTAGGCCCCGGTTATTCACATATTATTCTGCTCAGATAGGACGTTCTTGTACTATTAGTCTTCTATACAATTTTTTAAAGCATTGATATCGGGACTACGCTCCTGTTGACAATAGACGTATGGCTTAATTCACTTTGATATGTTAACTTCCGCACTGACCAGATGGCAATCCTTCCAAGCAATGGACAGCTTTCGGGTGGTTGGGACAAATAACACAACAAACCCACGTTACTCAAAGGGGATGAGATGCTATCCAAGCCATGATAATTTCCACTCTCAACCCTCTTCATTTTTGCGTGATTATCCGAAGCATTTTATGAGTAGTCCAGAGTTTCCCAAAAATGTGCGAAGAATCCATCTATTTCAGACCAGGTAATCTAACGTAAGTACTCACCCTTCAGGAAACGCGTAAATATGGAATCGCTTCGATTCCCGTTTTTTGGATATCCATCTTCAAACCTACGATACTGCCGGTTAGCTAATGCCTAGATGATTTGATGGAACACATTTACAAGTCGTTATTAACACCTTCAGCTTGATTTAAAGTCACCGGTGCCCGTAAGCTTCTAGATGATAGTTTCGTTGCGTTTCACGCTACCATATCAGTTTCCTCCTATTTGTCGTCCGATAGGCGGATATGCAGATGTCTGTCACAGGCCTTCCGAGTCAGTACGCTCTGTTCTCAGTATGCGGCATATACTTCACATTCTGTTCATTATGGTTGTGCAATAAGTATCTCCTGAAACCATACGTTTGCAAATAAGCGTATTTTCAGTATCTGCAAATACTGTGTAGGTTAATTAGAGACTAAAGCTCCTATAGAGGCATGCGTACCTTATTCTAAAATGCCGTCACTCGAAGCGCCATTCAACAAGAGATCACGGGATATGATATGATATCCGAAAGGATAAAGTTCACAGTCAGACTTTCGTGATCATTCACTGCTTCCATCTAACTACTACTCACAGGACAATCTAAAGCCACTTATAACAAACCAGCAGAATGAAACTTGTTCATGGACAACACGGTTGAATTCAGCTGTTATTCAGGCATCAGGGGTTCGTGGACCATCCAGAAAAAAGCGGTAAGAGAATTCTTGGCGTTTCTTCCGAAATTTGAGCAGAACAACGAGCCCTTAAATTTTTGGACATTGAGAGAACAAATGATTAACACGGGAAGGAAACAAGCTGAATTCCGTATGGCAAGAAAATTCTAAGGCCACCTGTGTTTTTCATCCCAACTCCACTCACGGTGAATGAAGTAAGACGAGCTTTGGAAAGCTGGTAGCTGACCCCATTGAAGATCAGTTACGAAATTTGTGTGGGCGTTACTGTGATTAGCTGGTGTAAAGGTGCCAGAAAAAGTATGAAAATTGGCACAACAAAATTGTGGAGCCACGTCATTGTACCCTCTGGATGAGAGCGATTCTGATTACATTTTCTGACCATATCACCTCAGCACCCCTAATAAGCTTTTTGCTTTATTTGAATGAGTGTAGAGACGACGTTTTACTAACGCGTCTCTGTTGTTGTCTCATAGAAGTTATCAGTTCAATTTTTAGGGTTTAGGTACCTGAAGCTTCATACATTCGCTGTGTTGACATGGAGTTTCTGTCACTTTCTCAGGTCCGTTTTTCAGTTCCCGGTAAAAAATCAATACTTTTGTAGCCTTTGCGAGTGATATCTGATTTGACTCGAAGTGAAGCCGTGATGAAAAAGACACTGGTGATCTTATAATTTCTTCTACAGTTGCCTTCTTGGGACTTGGTTGATGACACCAGTGCTAACCGGATGAAGACTGTATCGTAACAAATGGTGCAAATTGGCGCTCCTTGTACTGGTCTTTATTTGCTGCTGCCAAAACAGTTGATTTCTCCAATAAGGATGTAAATATAATGCACATAAATGGCTGCCTCCCTACTACTACTACTACTTTATGAGAAATATTACCATTAGTTTTGTGCAGAAACTGGACGTCCTATGTGATAACCAGCAGCGTAAAAAGATCTCTTGAATATAGTTTACGGAGCCTAATGGACACATTGCCTTGTCATCCACTTTGTTGTTATCTGCACAGAACTTGCTCAGCTTTAGGAAAAGGCGACAACACTGTGAAGCACAGATTTCGAAACGTATAGTGACATTAATCAAGAAAAGTTGAATACATTTGGAGACAAAACGCTGAACGGTAACTGAGCTACACGCTATACCAAAATTGTAGGCCCTGTGTTGCATACAAAGCACAGGTCGCTGGCACCCGTTAGGTCATGAAAAGTATCATAACCTTTTGAACATAATAGTTGCGATATCTTGAATATCGCGAAACATGAGGTGGACTGGTGCAGCACATTCAGTAGCCTAACATCACCATAAACGAGAGTTTCTGTTAGTTCCAGGAGTCTCTCGCCAAACCGAAATCGATATGCGAATGCGTGTATTTGTCGAAATTCAACAGTTCTCTTCTCTGGTGGAAAGATCGAAATATCGCTTTCGTTCGGCAAATCATTCGGGAGGTTGGCATGGATTTTTTTAGACAGGCAACCACGAGTTACTAGGGTTCATTGGCTGAGATAGCTGGAATCATGTGGTTCGGATGTGGATGATTCGGTAAAGGTGATAATTTGTGTGTGCATGTGAACTACGTTTCCACATCAGTGGGATGCATTCCGCGCAGAAAGACGCTGAGTTTAAGATAAAAGATCACGTGCAAGCTAGGGACACCCGGCGTGACAAGTTTGCTAGCTATGCATAGTTCATTCGTCCCACTATTCAAAGCTTACTTTTTAGGCTAATAGATGTCACGAGGATGCAAATCCCAAGGGCAGAAGTGGCACGATCTTTCTCAGACAGCGTGATGACAGCAGCAAATATCCCAGGCAGAATTTCAGGTACCTAAGTTAAAACAAACAAACGTTCTGACAATGGCAGAGACGCAGTTGTACATGGCGAGTTGAATGTAATGTGCATAGTTCACGGATAACTCTACCAGTCCTAGAAGTAAGCAGGTTGATTATAAGTGATACTTAGCACACAGAGGAGTAGATAGCTACCAGCAGTTTGTTGATAATGATGATGACGATCATGGTGATAATGCATACAACCTTGGTTTCACGCACTCATCACTGCTTATCGATACATAATATCCGCCCGAACCTTCCCACCAACTCGATGACCTACGAAAAAGGAATATAATTACAGCGTCTTTCTTAAATGGATGAAAGTAGCACCGTTTTGGTCAGTTTTATGGCTTTCTAGGTCGTTTATTACTACGCATCGTTTTCAACCACTTCATCTACCTTTTGTGCTGCCACTTTTCCATATACGTCTTATTTACTTCATCCTATGATCTAGATGAGCAACCCGTCCAACTACATCGGGCAAGTCCTGATAAAATTAGTTCTCGTCGTGTCCGTCGTTAGCAGAACACGGTGTAAATGGCACCGATTATCCGAAGAGTATTTCGATATATCATCTGTGGAAAACAACGGCAACGCAGAGTCTGAATCGGATGCCCTCGGAAACGGAGCGAACTATCAGCTGGGAATTCGGCCTCGAACACTTAGAGAGGATGAACTCGGTACCACCCATTCGGGTAGCATCAATGCTGCCGTGCATCAGCCGCTTAGCATGAGTAGTGAGTTTCAAACTCTAGGACGGTATAGGAATTTTGATGGGAACCAGCCCGTGCTTCACCTCAGGAGGATAAATCGTCCCATGTATTCACAAAAAAGTTTAACGGGTTCGTTGTTGAGGACGGATCATGATTTGAATGGGTATTGTGACATTGATCGCAGTTGTCCCGAACTTGCTCAAGCCTTGAGACAACGAAAAACACTGGGAGGTAGTGAAATAAGAAGTCGTTCGCTTACGCCAGTGGTTTGCAGTTCGTCCATAATTGCGGCGAACAGCTACGAAGATCCAGTTAGCTCCGCGCAACTTTACAGGAAGCCGTCTGATCAAAGAACAAAGGACAGCTATGTCAAACACGTCAAATTCTCCTTTTCTAAATTATCTCCTAGAGGGAATGTACCCTACTGTTCAAGTTCATTTAAAACCTCTGAAGATCGCGTGTTCACCGCAGATAAGCCACATTATGCCAGAACTACGACAGCTTTCGAACAGATGGTTAAACTACGTCACCATCAGTATCGGGATACACTGAAGAAACGCTTCGCAAACGGAGCCAGTGATATTCATCCACCTTGGAGAATGCAGAACCAGCTGCCTGATAAGTTCCGGACATACTACAAACAAGCGTCAATCAGGAATTCGGATGGACAACAACTAACATCCAACCATCGATGCCCGGTCGGGAATGAGTTTTTTAAACCAATAACTTCACAAACAAATATACCGGAATGGTCACAAGAACCACTGCACCCATGTGAGACTGACCAACAGCGCACATTGCAGCAGAAGTTTGACCGAATCCAGCGGAAGTCTGAAAGGAATATTAGTGTCAGACAAGGCTTGTGCACAGTTGCCAATGTCCAGCACGACCAAACCGAGGCATCCACAATGTTCTTCCCTTCTAGACGTTCGAGGTCAGCAAGTCCTGGGAAGCGTTTAGAAAATAATAACAGGCTCGAAACTTGCAGCAACCCGATCGTTCCGAGATCACTAACTCAGCAAGAACTTTGTGCTCCGGTGGACCGCCAATCAATGAAGTTTAGAACTTCTCCTTTGCCTACTCTATCTTCTGCAATCTTCGCTGACGAATACGTGAGTTGCCTACATACAGAAAGGCCACTTTTTGCAAATATTTGTTTACCTAGCTCCAGTTACATGAGGGCAACCATTCAATTACCGCTACTGCTACAACCAGAGCTGGTATACAGACGACAGGCTGTGCAGAGCGACGGGTGTCCAGAAGATTTCTTGAAAAGCCACTACTCACGGAAAGTAGAAGAGCCTTCAACTAACTTTATCCACAATAGAGCTTATCAACTTCTTCAGCCACCAGACGAAATCCAACCCTGGATGAGAACAAGTTTAATGAAGGCAGCGATCACACAAACCGTGGAGACTCCACTGATACCTTCATCTGGTCAGATTAGAATGAATAAGAAAACGGCAAACAATGAGCATATCAGCACTGCCAACTCAGATTCCAGAAACTCTGCCGAAATTGGTTCACCAATTATTCCTGAGAGTGCAGTTTCTAATATATCAGCTATCTTGAGACCAGAGAGAAATGACTTGCTTCCGGACCATCTGAGACCAGTCTGCGAGAAGAAGCTAATGCAAACCAACAGTGAGCCGTTGAGCCCCGAATCAGTGCGTACGCTTTCATTTCATGGTGATTTTGCAGCACACTCACGAAACAGTTCAATCGACGAATCAGACCTGGAGTCAATAGCTGAATCAAAAAAGTCACAAACACCTGAGGGTATTATCAAACATCTTCTTCAGCTACAACCGCACGCTACTCTATTTACTCCTCTTTTTACTCAATCTTTTCCAGCCTTGACACAAAGAGCAAATGATCCTCTGCTGGTTGCTATATTGTATCTTCTTACTCAGTATATGCAGCAAGAAAATAATATCATGGAAACGGAACAACGAACCGTGTGCTCCAATGCTCAGACATGTTCACCTGGGAGAAAAAATATTGCTAAATGTCCCCTGAGTTGTTCCGGAAGAGACCCAGCAGCTCAGGGACGTACGGGTGAACAAAGTGAGAATGAAAATTATTCAGTAAGTGCTTCACACTCAGAACTACTTAGAATAAGAACTCAGCCAAGTGCTGTTGCCTCTTCAGGTACCCCCTCACGTCAAGGACATCAAAAGAGACCATTTCAAACAGGTAATGAGGCGACTGAGTTGAAGAACGATGAGACAATGAGCAGGATAATTAACTATCTTACAAAAGCGATTATCCAAGCTGTTCACATATTCCGTCCAGACACCCCAATAGTATTCAGCAACTGTACTTGTGAAGTTTTATCAAAGTCAGGTCGTTCAGATAAAGAAAACATGTTCCCACAGGTCAGTTTGAATGATCGCTCCACGGCCAGGGATGAATTAGCAGCTAAAAGCGAAAAACCAGTGCAAAGCCGAGTTCACGATGGTTCCACTCTCGGAAAGTTCGATGTTTCAGTTGTTCTCCCAACTCAATCTCCATCGATATCTCTTAATGTAGCGTTACCGGAAGCACAATTGAGCCCCAGAACGGTGAGCTGCCAGCCCACTGATCAACCATGTGAACATTTACTTTATAGAAAGCAGTATTACAAAAACTATACCACAACAAGTGAACCCCCAAAACATCTTCAGGGTAGATCTTCTCAGGGTGTTCAAACTGAACTCTCGCTATTTGTAACAGAAGATCGAATTTCTTCCGAACAAGCCTCATCATCGTCGACGTGTACAACGTCTTCGACAAGTCCCCCGCTCCTAGAAACCAACATTCGAAAAAATCTCAGCCTAAAGATTTCATCACAAGCGTCGGAAAGCCACAGAAGTGACAATGTCTGTTTTGATACCAGCGAACAGTTCGATTGCATCGAGCAGTCACCAACAGAATTTGGCGAATCATCAACAGAGGCAGCTGAGAAAGGATCAGAGGATGATGCTCACGCAAGTGAACATCAGTGGCTGCATCTTTGCATGGCCACTGGCCCGATTTTTGAATCTCACGTTTACATTCCAGACCGAAACCCGGAAACCACACCAGCCTGTTCAAACCAGATTTTACCTCATTCTCCGAATTCAGATATTTGTTTGCAACAGTTTTCACGCGAAATATTGAAGTGCTGGCGAAAGGTGAATGATCTCCCTACTCTAACCAGTGAACTTACCTCCTTCATTGATACTCTTTGGGGTCTATTTAGGGTGGCAGGTCCACAGCTTTCATTGGAAGCCTGTCTAGCTCGTTTGAGGAAATCCTACCGAGTTGATTTAGATGCGGCTATCAACAGCATGGAACCTCTTGCACAAGCGGAATGTTCATTATTTTCTTTGCTCACCTATGGATATTACCAAGAGCTTCCAACACGGCATTTCCAACCACCAACAGTCTTTGCCCTACCCATGGGTCAACCAGGTCTCACAGAACAAACGTTATGGGATCCATGGAGTGAAATTTGTGCCCTCTATGCTATCTTTCTGTTGGCTCATAGACTCTTAAAGAATAACATACGTCTACCCTATGGTAGCGTCACTGGTTCACCAAGTCAATGTGGTCCTCAGCTGAACTCATTATTAAGTCTAAATGGAAGACAATCTCGCCTGGAAATGAACAGAGAAGATACAGTCAGAACAGGCTCACTTTCATCTTTTGGTCCATCAGAACTTACCCTTAGACACGATGACTACGATGTACCTGGGCGTAAAAGTTTGTACCAACGTACACTCAACCTACTGCGTGAAGTGATTACTCAGTCGACGACGTTTGGCCAGACACTCGAAGAAATATCTTCCATAAATAATGAGGTTAGGACGTCTGTAGATACGGCTAGGATACAACAGCAAATGTCTGCAGGAGAACCGACTCAGCCCTCCACCAGTGACACCACGAAGCGAATCTTCACAGAGGGGCAAAAGCGCACCAGAGAAGAAATGTGGAAAACAGACGACGAAAAGGACAACAAGAAAAACAGCAGGACAGACGAGGTGAAAGACGAAAGGAAAGACGACAAAGAGGTTCTGTTCGCTGTAGATAGCGAACATACCGGCGATGATCCACATCAGACAGATTCAGTAAACCAACTAAGTATTGGGAAGGTGACACCCAGAACAAGAAGCCCACGCTCAACATACAAGGAACGCAGGCTGACTCTGACAAACAGTTCAAAGAAGGGTAGACCCTCAAAGAAAGTAAGCCTTATGGTACCACGACGCCATGTATCACCTTCAATATTATCATCTCGTCGCTCACTATTGGCGACCACGGATTCTGAGCCAGCACATCGAACTTCTATCCCCGTTTTCACAGTGAAGTCTGTGGACTCCGGTGCCGTTCACGGTTTGTTTTTGGATCCACCAGAAGTTGAGGAGTGGGGAGGAAATTTGGATTCCAGATATCGAAGTAGCACCTACAGATGGGGCGTCGTTGATACTGACGATGAAGCAGAAGAAGAGCAAAATTGTTTGGATTCAAAACATAAAACGGAAACTAAAAATATGGGAAGAACCAACCACGGTGTAAGCGAACAACAAAAAATAACGAACAGTGTGCAAAATGAGTTCAACGTTTTCAGGACAAGTTCTTGCCCGTCTTTGACCAGTCACACTTCTGAGTACTGTGGTTTTAACCGAATCTCTCTAAATGAACCATCATCGTTTCAGGAACTATCATTCTTGAATGCGATTAGTAATGATCCTGCATATTCGGATTCCGTTCAAATTCAAAGTCTTCCGCTTCCTCAGTTGAACGTCAACTCAAACTTCCCATCGATTAATTGTACTTCACACGTGGAACAACCGTCAAGAATGCACGACCAATATTCCATTTCTGAAGTCCACTGCAGCTCGTTTAGTGTTGAACCGTCACACCCCGGACAAGAAGTTTTTCAACTTAGCCCCATTTTTAGTACCAGTGTTGGAAAGTATCCGACACCGACTCGTCTAAATATCCTCGGTGACTCCCCAACCAACTGTTTAGAAAACTGTCAATCTCCTTCCGCCCAGAATGCATCTAGTGACGAAACTACTACTCTTTACACGGCAGTTCCTTTTCGAAATGGGTTTCCCTTATTGAATGGTAGTGTTCTTGATGGCAAATTTGATAACACAGCTGCCATGTTTTTCTCTCCACGTCCCTCACATCCTTGCAAAATGTCAGTCACCGAGTCCAAAGTATGCTGCAACTCTTTTGGTCAAGGTGTTGAGAATGATACACACAGGGGACTGCTGAAGAATACACTATGTTGCAAAGATCCTCAATATGAACCGCCGATTATCAGTGCAGTGACTGTACCATCTGAAAGTCTGGGCAGCCGACTTTTAGGTAAGGAGTCTGATCGGATTTTGTGGTCTTGTTTCCCTCCAGTGGATGCTGGATCTCAACGGAAAATTTCTCCTAAGTCCACTCCAGACAATGCTGCTAAGCAGGCACCTCAGTTAAGAAGCAGTTCTTTACCACTAAAAAAGGTATCGAAACACCCAGCGCGAGACAAAAACAATGCGCCTTGCTTCCGAACTGTGTCAAATTTACAACGACCTTGTATGGCCTTGACTGCTCAGAAAAGAAAAAAGAATGACAGGACAAAAAAGACTGCCCACATAGTGGCACCTTCCTTGAAAACTCCGCGTCCGGGAAAGAGACATCAGAGCCTAGCTCTACGCCACACTCGTGACCAAACCGAAGCTTGTTGCAGAAAATTCCGAAATGCGATTGGCAAAAGCAGGTGTACCAAGTCGGCGCAGAATTCCGTATGCGTTGATAGTTTATACCATCCACCCAGTATGGTAGTGGGTAGGACACAGCCAGAATTAGGTACGTCGCTATCCAAGTCCCGCAATAATGTGATTTCTCCGCCTTTTGACAGGGTCGAGGTGCTAGAAGCCCCTACCTGTAATTCAGGTGCCCAAATCGGGAAGCACCCTTGGAGCCAAACCCATGTGAGTAGTTTGTGCAAGTTAGATCTGCGATCAAATTTGTTGAGCCACAGTTTGCGCCAAAATGGTCCCGTAAAAGATGAACACTACAGTGTTCAAAATGCCAAAAAAAAGGCAGGGAAGACAACACCTGAATTTGGAAGGTTGGGGGGTCAGAGCCCATTTAGATGCAAGACACGTGACTTAACATCAGTAGATGTGGTCAGACCCATCAAAATTGAGCATCGGGATTTGCATCACAGACATGACAATGCAGCAAAAATGGTTAAAAAAACTTCCAGCTGTCGGTCACCAACACCAACCAACGAAACTGCCAACATCGATTTCCAACCAAAGAGGTTTGTTGAGTCATGTACTACTGGACTTCCTACAGTCTTCGACGCAAATTTCCATCAGTCTAATATCTTCCGAGTTCGGATTCCCTCAACAACAGCCCACATTTTCATGACGTCTAACTCCAATTCAACGAGAAAGGAACACAGCTTACGTAGGCCATTGCGAAGTACGTATATATCGCAGAAGTTACACAAAGAGCGTCCGATGGATGTGCTCTCTCGTAGCGTACCGAATGCGCGAGTTCGGCGAGCGTCCGCTGGAACCATTTACGGTCACTGCTCTCACAATTCTCCGCTCGACGGTTCCCATGAGAGAGTCCGGTCGCACTCAAACGCAGGAAATCGTCCTCGCAAATTCATATGTGTGCTGATGGATGTCCCATCCAATATTGAAACCAAAAACAGCCAGAATATGGCAAACACGACAACATTTGCCGTAAAATCTGGTTCACAACTTCACCAAGAACTATCCGAGCTACTTGAGTCAGAACTGCAGGACAGGCAAACTGAAACAAAGCTTGATGAACTGATCATTTGCGCTCAAAAACTATCAGGGATAAAAGGCTTACGTTGGTTTCAGTTAGTTGGTGCGTTTGATACGAATTCTGAGGAACCAGAACATGCTATGCCAGCAAGGTTGATCGAAAGACTTACCAAGAGCCAAACTTGGCCAGCTCCATACAATACCACCGTCAACACTGCTGGCCCATTGAGTATACGTCGGACACGTGCGTCACGAAGGCGTTGCCGATATCAGGGCCCCATTCTTGCAGTCGGTGAAGAAAACGGCACAAAAAATGGACCAGATAAAATGCGTGGCTTCCCAAAAGACGGTTATGTGAAGGTGCCAGTTCCCAAACAAAATGAGGACACTGGTGAGACTCAGTCGACCCCGTTTACTTCAAAGCCAAAGAGTAATGAGCGACGATTTGAAGTTATCTCATCAAAGACTTTGTCCAACTTCAAATCCAAACCATTTACGCCTGCTGATAGATCACAAAAACAGACCTTTTTGAGGGGAAAAACAGACATAATGAAAACTGAGACACCTGGTGCAACAAAGTGGTCATTAAAAGGACATCATACCTGGAACAAACTCTCTACCGCTGATTCACATGTTAGGAAAAGTTTTAGTTCATTCTTTCAAAAGGCTGTAAAGGTTAAAGGATCTACAAAACCATCCCCGCCAGCTTACAAAGACAGCATGATTGGAGATGAATCTGCTCTCAGCTTTTCTCCAAAAGCCGGAACAAAAGAGCCGAATGGAAATATGGAGGAGAATGGTCAAGACGATCTTTGCGGTGTCCCACTGGTGGATTGGGTTGGCAATTCTCAGACAGCTTTTTCCATGGTCAAGTGCAACTCAGTTGAATACGATTCCAAGTCCTCTCAAAAAGGTGAGACTGTTCTTACAAGACAGGATGCAGGCACTCAAGGGAGGTGTAGCAATCCAAATTGGCTGTTACCTGACTATTCCTTATCCAGTGGAAGCATCAGTTGTGCCTTCGAAAAATCACGTAGCCTAAGCATATCACCGCACATTCAACACGCTTGTGGATCGTTCGAGGAGCGGGAAGAGAACGGCAAAAATGTTCGTCCCAAGAGAAACTTCACCAAATCATCAGTTCTCAACTCTGGATCGCATGAAGAATCAAAGCTTTTCGGACTGGTACCTGAGAGAACTTCGATGGATAGCCACTCGGAAAGTGCGGTTTATGAAAGAGTAATTCCAAGTCATGGAACCCCATTACCACAAGTGTACGATAGAAATGCATACTGGGACGTCCGATTCGATGCTGAATCGAAAGAGCCTAATCGCGCTCCTAATTTAGAGTCCCTTTCAATGAAAGAGTCTTTCAGTTTCAGTTACCAAATACCGACAACAGCAACTGCCGATCGTCCATCTGACCCGCCAGATACATCCAGTAAAAAACTAGAAAATCTTTATCACGTGGCCACAGTTGATACGCTGACACACAAGTTCAGTGATCTATTGGAGAATCTCGATAAATCGACCTACCATCTTATGAGCATTCCACATGAAACCATCGTTGATGTTGTTGCTGCGGGTATGAGTACTCTAATAGAATCCTCACTTGGGTACAGTCTGGACTCTGAAATTATTGCCATCTTGCAGAATAAACGGGAAGAATTGGAGCAGGTCAAATCCCCTCCCGAATATTTACATAAAATGGAAACAAATCCTGAATACCTTGATGTATGTAGTATGAAAACCGGAACCATAACACGAAATGACACAATTTTGGGAGCCTGTAACTGCTTAGCAGTGGGTTCATTGGATACACTTCCCCCACTAGATTTACATAAACGTACGAAATCAAGCCAAACTATCACCCTAGATACCAAGGGATGTAGTACGCAGAGTAATCTTGAGCTCCAGGATGAACTGACTCACCTGAAGAGTGGGGCGAAAATCCCTGTACCTCGTCCAAGAACCTCAACAGGGTATTTGACAAGCACTGGAAGTGAACGTCCCTTTTCAAGACGAAAGACAGTTCCAAAGACATCGTCCAGCGAAACTCATTCGATCAGTAAAAGGTCGGTAGCACAAACAAAATTTCCCCCAAAAGCAAAGATTGGTTTACGACATACGGAAGAAGACTCCAGGTTGGATGGTAAACGAATTTCATCCCGACCAGCAGTAAAGTCAGCGATCAAAGCGTCAGCTCAGAACTCCGAAACTGAACAAACATTCAGTGAGCCCAGTTCCAACAGAGCCTCTTCATCTTCTGAAGTTCCAGGAGTACCTCCGAAATCTCCACGTCGACGGTGGCCTTCTTCACGCCCTGCGAAGTCAGAAACTTCCGGCACCCAATCAGATGAAGAACATTCAAATAAACTACTTGGTCAAAATGAACAGAAAGAAGAGTTGGCCAACGATGGATCTCCCTTGTTAACTAGAGCCGTGATATACACATATTCTACACAAGCATATGCGGAGATTCCATCGTCCCTAACGGAAAACATTCACTTTAGGACTAGATTAGATGAAATGCTAGAAACTCCAACCACCACACAAATGAAAAATGGGCCAGAAACCATAGAAAACCTCTTTGGGGAATATTTGCTGTCCTCTGTCGAGCAAGTGCACAGGTCTCCGTCTTTTGGTGTACTTGATACCATACCATCCACGGAAAATGTATGGAACGAATCCTTAATCAATGTGTCTGATCGAAGCTTGAATACCCCTACCCGAAAAGCTTCAGAAATGAGTCATCTAGACAGAGATGACTCTAAAAAGCTACATACAGAAGTCAAGCCCCGGAATGGCGTACTTCCATTATGCACGCCTGTTGGCGTTTTGCCAGTGAGTTCATTGTCACAGCTGTCCGTTTTTCAACTCCAACTTACCTGTCAACCCAACGTCACTTATCATTGTCAACAATCACTGAACTCAAAAGGACCTATAGCAAGTGGTTTTGAGGCAAAAGAAACTGAATCAAGAAATGTAGGGGGGAGCAAGCAGGCAGAGCAGTTCCAGCCGTTTCCCGTGCCACCCACGCCGGCTACTGAGAAGTCTGATAATGTTAATATACGCGTTGGCTCATCCCCAAATTCCTCGATAAGACGTTGTTGCGCTCAAACTACAGTAGATCCAGATTACCAAAACGGCCGTTTGAATGTTTCAGGTGTAGCCGACGCACCCACAGAGAACATACCGACGATAAAAATTACCGCTTTACTTGATCATATTCCACTGGGCACTATCCAATTGGGCTTGAACTGGACGATAACTCCGATATCTCCTTCTAATCCGAGTCTCCCACACCATTTGGGACAAACGGAGGGTGAAACTGGATACCCCAGAATGGAAAAGCCAGTTGGTGAAGATACTCTAAGGAAGTCGGACTATATTCAATATACTTCACAAAAAACGGTTACCAGATCTACAGAAAGGTCTTTATCGATTTCCAAATATGCAACTGACGCGTCTGACAAAGAGGAAGTTGTCACAACAGATAAAATAGAGGCGGGTGTTAGGTCTGAAGAACGTGGGAAAAGAATAAGATTAGAGAGCATGAATGTTTCACCCTCATGTTGCAGCAGCTCTTCCGGGCGGTCGGGAAATGACTTTGGCCGCTTATCTCCATTCGAGTCGACATCCTCCAGCAAACCACCCCCTGTGAACAAGAGACGAGCTATTAGTCAGGATTCTATACCTCCACTCATTGGCTATCAAACTGAGGCTTCAGAGTTTGAAGCACCACGGGCTGCAATAACCGCTCAGTCGATTCCCTCACCAACAACGGATAGATATGCACAGAGTGCAACTACTGGGTTGGAATACAGTAACACAACCTCAGAAAAAAGCCAACCTAGCGAGAAGTTCGTTATCACCCGAAATGCAAGTTCTAGGCAAGGGTTATTAATAAGTGGTTACTCAGCCTCCGAATTACCCATGGATCTTCCCGTGGATACAATGAGTCGCATGCACGGCCATGTGATCAAACCACACCCGGAAGAGTGGTTCAAATGTAGACCAATTCATGATACCCAAAATCGTGGGAGTTCTGCAGTTGCTGAGCGAACAGCTGCTCGGGAAGGGAGGAAATCATCTCCAGATGTGAATCCTGCATTCAGCAACTATATGTGTGACCACTCTGTACGGCTCGGTGGTATGGACGTATTTCAACATCCATACTCTCACGGGAATAAACCACAGAGCCTAATCACGTCAGGTTCGGATCAAGTGCTCAAACCTGCAGCTGTTCTACTTCCAGGTGCTGTAGAAGCTGGCTGTAACTTGACTATGGGTCTCAAAGATGAGTCTGCTACCCAAAAATGTCTGCATACACGCGAAGTAGAAGCATACCAACTGGATGCGCCAAACCATCAGACATTTCAGGAACATAGCGCAGAAAAGTTTACCCCTAAAGAATCCACTGATGTCAACCTAAATCCGTTAAAACGACTGCAAGATATCGCAGACATGGGCGAGAATGGTGTCAATATCTCGCTGGAGTTGAGACACTCTGAAAGTACACATAGACAAAGTACGGATGTTCAGAATCATGCAGTTCAGAGGAAAGACCTTTTAGATTTATCACCTAGAAAAGGAGATAAAAAATTATCAGAATCCTTTGAACAAGCTCCATCAATGGACAGTTGTTTTCGGTCAGTCTCAGGGATGAGTTTAATGCATACTTCAAGTGGTATTACTGAGAATGTTCTAAGTGAATATGTGAAGACAGCGGGAGTCAAAATACCGAAAACTATTCATTCCGCGAATATAGTGCCTACTTCGAAGACAAAAATTCGCCTGTATGTCAACAGAATCTTGCAAGATGTCAGACGTTTTCGGCTTTCGGCGGCTAAGAGATTAACACAAGGTTGGCCGTTATCGACCTGGTTTTGCACAGCAGGTACTGATGTCATGTCTCAAATCTGTTCACCTGAGGGTGGATTTGACTATTACTCATATAGGCCCGCAGCAGAAGCCCCATCTCGTTCTTCCAGGACCGTCTTACTAAAACCGAAGGTCTCACCGCATTCTGCGGGGTACTCGCCGCCATATCGCAGTCCCATATCTGGTTTAGAGACTGACCGGTCACAAACATCACAGAGCAAACTATCAGAATGTGTAGACACCGAATCGACTTTTAGCGATTCGTTCAGTCACATCGGAGAAGCCTGCGCACCACTTACCTATTAATCACACTTGTCTACGGTTTCTGTCGCTTTTCGGTACTTACAATTTGTACACCCTTCGGACTTTGTAGTCATTTGCTTTTCAATTTGGTTTCTCGAATCTGTTCTTTCGAAATATAGAGAATACTTTCCACTTGCTACTATAGCATGATGCGCACTTTTGTATCCCCATGATAATCAGTTTGTTTTGCTGAATATGCACAAGAAAAGCTCCAGGATGTGTGTAACAGTAGACTTTAAAGTCATGGTAGATACCGAAAGTCCGTGTGAACGATCTTACCAGCTTCACACAGGAGTTTTATACGCGTGCTCCAAATCTGAGCTTGATCAACTAAACCGATAAACTTGTGGAATCTTGTAGTTAAACGAAAAGCGATGACACGGGGATTCTGGAGAGTGATCCACTGGGGGTATCATGTGTGTGTTGTCCATATGGATATTGTTAACAACGTTATCAGCTTAGTAGAATGTTTGCTACCGGGACATTGTCGCGGTAGGACAACTGTTGCACAGCAACTCCTCCACCTACTACCTGCCTCCCATTAGATAAGGTAAAATGAAAAGCACTTAGACAGGTAAGATACACAAATGCAGACTTATTGTCAGAGCACCATATATATATATA